CTCCTTCTAAAGCAATACTCAGGCTTAGGTGACAAAGAACTTGCCGTGGAGGAGGGGGAGAGGAGAAACACTGTTACATCCTTCCTAGACTCACTCAAAGATGAACTCTGGTCCCACAATTCTGTGCAGTTGCAGACTCTTCTAATCCTTGCCTAACCTCCTTCTTCCTGCCCAAACCTTCCCTTTATTCTCTTTTCCTGTTTTTTCTTTGTTTTGTTTTGTTTTTTGAGTTGGAGTCTCACTCTGTCACCCAGAATGGAGTGCAGTGGCCACTCCCGCCACCGCAGCCTCCACCTGCGGGGCTCCGGGGATCCTTCCGCCTCAGCCTTCCAAGTAGCCGGAATTACAGGCATGCGCTACTACGCCCGGCAGATTTTTTGATTTATTGTAGAGATGAGGTCTCGCTGCCCAGGCGGGTCTCGAACCCGCGGGCTCAGGCAATCCACTCACCTCAGCCTCCCAAAGGCGCGGGCTGAACCACCGAGCCCAGCTTCTTTTCCTGTTTTTAAACTTCCCCACATTTCATTCTTAACCTCCAAGCAATCATCCCCACCCCCACACACCACAGAGTGATGTGGCCTTGACTCCACTACTGGAAGAATTCAGGATGGAAAGGATACAGTCACCATCTTACCACCACTACATCCTTAAACACCATTTTGAAGAAAGAGAATCTAAAAAGAAAGTTACAGAAAGACCTGTAATATCTATAATATTAATAACTACAAATCATGGGCCAATAGTGTCACTATAAGTCGCTAACACTCAAAGTAAATTTTCCAATTAGCCAGTCAACATCAAGTATTAAGACACAACTTTTTTGGTGTTTTCTTTCATTTTCTTCATTCAACAAATATCTGTGGAACACGTACCATGTGCCCAGCATTGTGCTAAGCTAGCTTTGCTTTCTTTTATAAACAAGCCTCATATAGCTCTTCTGGAAGGAGGAGGTTACTCTCTCCAGCTACAGCCTTGCTGTCCACATGACAAACAGTGGATATTTGTAAATGTCTAAGCACCAAGGCTGTGAAACATTTTCTCACCTCATAAAGTTATGTGAAACACACAAGGACAGAACCAACTGGCAATCTAGCCTAGGCATGGATTCAATCAGAGAGGACAAATGTTCTTCTTGAAACAAAATTGCTCTGTGACAAATATGAAAATGACAGCAGCAACAACAACATTAAAGTCCAAAAGCAAGCTCAAACAGAAAGTTAAAATGTATTATTCAAGAAGAAAAAAAGAATGAAAACAGTCATATTCTCTTCTTTAGAAAATATTTCAATTTTCTCAATTTCTAAGCTATTTTTCTAAAGCATGTAGCTGAATCTGCAATAGAAACCTCTTTGCTCATCTCTACCCTTCACACAGGCCACCTCTCAAGGAGCCCTAAGATCCAGTCACATTTACACACATCTTCTTGCAGTGCTGGTCCAAGTCCTTCTTACAGCTCAAGGCCCAGCTGAAATGCCATCCTTTTGTGGAATGTTTCTAGATCTCTCCACTAGGGACCAGCTCCAAGATTTCTTCCTCTCCAAACTTCTAATGCAAATTATTTGTGCCTCTCCTGTCACCATTGTCTCTGACTTGATTCCCGGGTGTATGCCAGTTTCAATTACTGGAATGTGTTTCTTTTTTTTTTTTGAGTTGGAGTCTCACTCTGTCACCCAGACTGGAGTGCAGTGGCCACTCCCGGCCACTGCAGCCTTGACCTGCTGGGCTCCGGCGATCCTTCCGCCTCAGCCTTCCAAATAGCCAGAATTACAGGCATGCGCTGCCACGCCCGGCTGATTTTTTGATTTAATGTAGAGAAGAGGTCTCACTGCCCAGGTGGGTCTCGAACCCGCGGGCTTAGGCAATCCACTCACCTCAGCCTCCCAAAGGCGCGGGATTACAGGCTGAGCCACCAAGCCCGGCTGGAATGTGTTTCTTTAAGGCAGCAAAGATGGTACTCACAATGTCTCCTTCCCAGTAAGTGTTCAGTCATATGTGCTAAACATACATTATTTCCTACTTTAAAATTATGCTGTGAAACATTCAATATTCTATAGTTGCCATATAACTATAATTTAGTTTAAGGGGAAAAAAAAGCTTAGCAAAATTGGCTACGGAGACTCTTTTCCTTGTATTTACATTCAATACTGTCACCTGGAAAACAAAAAATTCCAGTGGGCCGGCTGTTAATTTGTTTAACACCACTGTTGTGCATTTTTAACAAAATTATTGTCCAGGTTACTCCTTGTCACTGTCACCATAACAACAAAATGTATACCTACTTCTTGCATATTAGCTGCTCCTGAAAAGCCCAGAATGACAAGAATGCTGGTTGGCTTCCCAAATATAGCTCTGACAAGATCTCCATTTTCCTTTCACTCCTAAATTCTTTGGTGACAATAAAAAGCAGGACAATTTCTGTTTTCCATATTTCTGTTTTCCATAATGCCTTGTCCGTTAGGAGTTATTTCTGGAGTAGGAATAGCAATATGGCCCATAAAAGTCATCACATTTGGCTAAGGCACTGAAAATAACCCAGGTCTCCTGGCATAGTTCACAGCAAAGACTATTAATATGATCCTATTGAATAATGTAGCTGTTACCCAGCTTTACACTTGGGATGCTTTCAGGATTTAAACAGCTAAGAACAAGGATCACAAACTAAATTTAAAACATTCCACTAAAAATGATATTAAACCGAAAACTATAAATTAAACTTGTTTCTTAGCAACAATCTAAATAGTCAAAGCTTAGTGAAAACATTCACTTTCAAAAATAGCCTACTGCTTTGGAGCTTCCATTGGCTTCTTGCTGCCAAATATATGCATAAAATGCACAATATGTAAACCAATTTGAAATTAAATAAATCTCTAAAATACAAAAAAAGAGAGTTGCTTGTTAAAAGAATTAAGTCCTCAGACAACAAGAAATCCAAAAATGCATTAAAATGCCTTTGATTTTTAAGGATGATGATGACAGATAGCATTCCTCTGTCCTAGCTTTCCTTTAATTTAAAAATCAGTCTACAGGTCAAGTGCCTGATATTTGAAGACCATGCCTCATTAAGTCGAAACTACTTGGAAAAGTAAAAGAAAATGCCCACATGATGCATAAGGAACCATCATCAAAATTTTACTAAAAAGTCAAAAGTTATTTAAAAAAAACCTAATAAGAATCTTTGTTGGATTTGGAAATTTGGAACCCAAACGGAGTGTATGGAAATAAAGAAGGTTCGCTTTCACAGATTTTCCATGGCTATTCCCATTAACAAGGGTGAAATCATCAAATCCCCAACTATCAGCAGTGAAAAATCAGACGAAAATGTTGAGCAGCAGAGAGGGAACAGTGACCTTGTTAACACAAATATCTGTCTGGTGATCAGAGTTTTGTTTACAATCTAACCAAATAAAACTATATATCAGCTACAGACCATAAATCAGATGGTTTGTGTTTGGTTTAATTGTCCGGTGATTAAACTAGTGAGAGCAGTAGAAAGAAGCCCATTCTAAGCAGATGAAACAAACAACTTCAACATTCCTGGGAAACAAGAAACACACACACACACACGCCTCCCTCTTATCCCTCTCACTCCCTTCTCTTTACCACCTCTGGGGGATGCAGGCGCCCAATCATTTCCCAGAGAGGCTTGTTGTCTTAATGGCTCCTTTCCTTAAAGTACCTCGCAGCAGAGAACCGATTCACAAGGGGGCAGGTTTCCCCAGACATCTTAAGAAAGTTCTCATTTTCCAAAACTTGCCAGCTGCACAAGTGGAAGCCGGCAGCAGACTGCCTCCCCCTCTCGGCTTCTCCAGTCCTTCCTCGGCTCCGGTCCTCTCACCCCAAGTGCCTTCCATCTCCCCCTCCAGAAAGCCTTACCTCCAGGGGGTGGGGGCAAGTTCAGGCAGCCCTGGAGGTCGACGCCCGGCCCTGCCCTCCGCGGCGCCCGCGCGGACTCCGCTCCGGCGGTGGGAGGAAGGGAGGGGGCGTCCACGCCCCGCTCCCTGCATCCCACCCCGAATCTTCGGCGGGAGCAGCCGGATCGGGCCGAGGGTGGGAGGCGCTCCCGGCTCTGTCTTTCTCTGCAGATCTCTGCAGCGCCTGAAAAGCGGCTTCCCAAACCCTGAGAGCGTTTTCCACCCGGGAAAGGGGGCCCCAGCCCTGCTCCAAGGTAGGGGCTGGAAACCACCCGCGAGTCCTCTGCACGGGGACGATAGTCGGGGGGTGAAAGTGAGGGCCAGCAACGGATGGAAGGGCATTCGGTTTCTAGATCCCGGCGAAGGAGAACAATGTCTCGAAACCAGGTGCAGAACCTCCACCTCACCCGGGCACGGCCTGGGAAGAGCGACCCCCGCCACCACCGAGGGATGGGGAGCGTACAGCTGGGACCCAAAGCGCTGGCGCTCTGCTGCAGCAGCGCCCACAGCTGGACACGGGCCTCTCCCAAAGGCCCTCCCCAGGACACACGGACAGACACACACAATGGGCATCCCCACACCTGCTGGGCGATGGCCCGCCTCCCCCTCGCCGCTCCCCGGGTGCGCCGAGAGGTGCTAGGCGCCCCCGAGACACGCGCGCACAGCCACGCGCGCACGAGAGGTGAACAATGGGGGGTCAAATTCGCCAGGAAACGCACCCCAGCCCTCGCCCCTGGCCAGAGCCGACCGCGGCGGAGGGAGTGGGCGCGGGGGTCGCTCGGGACGCACGCAGGGAGCCCCGAGACCCGGGCGCCCCGGGGCTGCTCCCCGTGGGAAGGCGCAGGAGAGACCTCCAGCCAGGGTGGCCGCTTCGTCCCACTCCGAACGGCCTCTAGCCGAGGGGCACCGAGGACGGCGGCACCCGAGGACGGGAGCACCATGAGGAAGGAGCACCGCGGAAGGGGCACCTGGAGGTGCCCGGGCTCACGGGACGCCCCGGGGGCGCGGAACCAGGTCCGGCAGGGCGCCCGGCGCCGCCCCCGGCCCGCGGCCACGCTCTCCCCGCGCCCGCCCCGGGAACTCGGTTACCGCCGCCTCCGCCGTGGCCCCCGCCGCGTCCTCCGGGGCCCGGGACGAGTCGGGCTCGCAGCTCG